TATATAAATTTTCCCTCACTTTGAAAGGACTGGACCAACCCCATACTCACAACAAATTCTTCCTCACAGTTACCTTCACTTGCTGCACATAACAGCTTTTAAATCACAGGAAAGGCTTTGAGCCGTCGATTCCAACTCATTGTGACCTTGTAGGACGAGTAGAACTGTCCCATAAGGTTTCCAAGGCTGTTTTCTGAAACAGACTGCCTCATCTTTCTCTTGTGGAGTAGCTGGTAGGTTCAAACTACTGACCTTTTGGTTAACAGCCCAATGCTTTAACCACGGGACCACCAGACCTCCTTTCTTGAATTAAAGTAAAGCTAAATAAGAACCATAAGCACCTATCTTACCAACCTAGAAATTCGATTTAAAGACACACTTAGGAATGGATCTTATCCATAACCCAAGGACTGCCTCTACTTCCCTATTCCTCTATGTACTTCTGCACTTTATACTATTTCCTTTGCTTTAATTTTTTTCCCAGGATTCACTTTCCCCAAAAATGTCCACTAAAATTAAGCCAAGCCAACTATGGCATCTAAAGCCCTGCAGCCCAAAGCAGCAGGCTTCTTGTACAAGAAACATAAGCAGCAGATGGGCTGAGGCTAAGAGAGTAACACAGATTTTCCTTCACTGAGAATCTGAAGACCTGGGGTCTAGCTCCTCCTTGTTTCCTATTATCTTGAGTGACCTCAGCAGTTTACTTACCACAGTTGCTTACTCTATTAAACTATATGCACATGTACACATTATCTAACAGTTGTCCCTTTTTTAAAAAGCACAGATAAAATCTAGATAGTAGATCTGCTTAAAGACATACTACTTGTGTTTAAGAGCCATGACCATTTGAAAACAGGAAAACTAAATTTTAGTAAAATTTCATGTCAGAGGACCCACGAGTTTTGCTGTTTGTTTCTAGTATTTCTGGTGAAAAAGATACTTACCAAAGAAATGAGTATTGTTAATAAGATTATACAGTAAGTGTTTAACCTGTTTAATAAATTCTTAAATTGTTTTTTCTACATACGATTTGATTTATTATCCATTAATGGTCCCCTGATAACATTCTCATGCAGTTTTTTGGTTTTTTTTTTAATCGATTTGTTCAGTCCTTGTTACTCATAAAGAGTATCTTACTCTTTATGTAAGATAATAAACCTGCTTTTCTTTGCAGTTTTGCCATTCAGATTTTTTATGAGGCTCTTCCTTTAGCATTCACCCATATAGTCCAAGTCAGTAATGTTTTATTTGGGAGGACAGCTGCTATAACTAAAAGTTTAATACACTGAATTAAAAGTGGATTTTCAAGTAGGATTTAAAAGAATGAATTCAGATATAAATTATGAGAAGTATGTTAAAGATTGCCGGTTATTTCAGTGCTCAACCATCAGTGCTCCTTCTCCCCATTTTAGTCTGCTATGTCAAAAAACTGCATCAAGCTTTTGTGTGAAGATCCCGTTTTTGCAGAATATATTAAATGTATCCTAATGGACGAAAGGACTTTTCTAAACAACAATATCGTCTACACATTTATGACACATTTTCTCCTAAAGGTAAGTAGTACTTTGGAAACTCAGTATGTCACTTTAATTAGTTACTGACAGTGTTTTCATTATGTTGGTCTTTCGGAGATTTTTTTTTTTTTAATCTTCTTTTTCAGGTTCAAGGTCAAGTATTTTCTGAAGCAAACTGTGCCAATTTGATCAGTACCCTCATTACAAACTTGATAAATCAATATCAGAACCTACAATCTGATTTCACCAATCGAGTTGAAATTTCCAAAGCAAGTGCTTCTTTAAATGGGGTAAGAACAGTGCCAGGGAATAGCTACATACTTCAGAATTTTCCTTCAAATCAATTCTGTATTGGCCTTCGCATGATTTTATTATCCTAATTTTAACTTAATACTGAAACCTTAAAAATCACATACAATGAGAAACACTAACCAACTTTTTAACACATATTCACTGTGCTTTGTACCTGTGTAGCCCAGTAGCTGCATGTTACCTTGGAAGACACGAGCTAATGTCATTGACTGCTGTGGGCAGTAGGTCCCTTTACATCCCCTTTTACCTCATTTTGTTTGTCATTTTTGAAACATGACTTGTGTGCCTATGGCTTATAAATGACTGAAATAATCAGATTAATGATTTAAGCCAGTTAAAACTAGACTGATACCTGTGCCAGGGAATTATGGAACACTCTGGAAACATGGTAAAACATCATTCCTCAGCCACCTCCCAAATAATGAAATGCTTGGATGCCAGAACAATTATACAGCTAAGTGACGTTCACCACATAGAAACTGTGATTTCTAGATTACTGAGACCATAAAGTAAATTTTTCATGGTTCATTTTTAGGTTTATTTTTGAAATTCCTTTGTAAGTCTGCATAAATTCTATTATTGATCCTTTTTTTTCCCTTTTCTATTTCCAGAAATCACTGCTTCAGTCTTCAGTCTTAGTGGTGATGCCTAAAATAATGGTGTTAGTTAAAATGAGTGAAATACAGTAGTATCATATATTAACACTGGCTATCTGGTTTTAGCATTCTTCTGAAAATGCCAGAGAAACCAGAATGGCATCCTGAAATATTAAACATCTACATTAAAGACTACTTGTGTTTAAGAGCCATGACTATTTGAAATTTTTTAACCCATATCCAATTTGTTGTAAACAATTTGTGTCAAAATGTTGGCTTTGGAATTTGAAATGTTCATATTTGGATTTTTGTAGGACCTGCGGGCACTTGCCTTGCTCCTGTCGGTACACACTCCCAAACAATTAAACCCTGCTCTAATTCCAACTCTGCAAGAGCTTTTAAACAAATGCAGGACTTGTCTGCAACAGAGAAACTCACTCCAAGAGCAAGAAGCCAAAGAAAGAAAAACTAAAGGTTAGTTTTATAGACTAATAATATTTTTAGAGTGGGGGAAGGGAAAACACAGTATAACCAATTATAATGGCTGTATGTTTAACTGAGCCTCCTAAATAGAAATGCTAAAAAGGATGTTAATTTCTCACAGTCCCCCCAGTCTAATCTAAATGACCCCTTTCAGAGAAGTTGTTTCAGTTTGAATGTTTATGTTCACAGATGATGAAGGGGCAACTCCTGTTAAAAGAAGGCGTGTTAGCAGTGATGAGGAACACACTGTCGACAGCTGTATCAGTGACATGAAAACAGAAACAAGGGAGGTCCTGACCCCAACTAGCACTTCAGATAATGAGACGAGAGACTCCTCAATTATCGATCCAGGAACGGAGCAAGATCTTCCTTCCCCTGAAAATGGTTCTGTTAAAGAATACCGAATGGAGGTTCCATCTTCATTTTCAGAAGACATGTCAAATATCAGGTCACAGCATTCAGAAGAACAGTCCAACAGTGGTAGATTTGAAGACTGTAAAGACTTTAAAGACCTCCACTGTTCCAAGGATTCTAACCTAGCTGAGGAAGAATCTGAGTTCCCTTCTACTTCAATCTCTGCCGTTCTGTCTGACTTAGCTGACTTGAGAAGCTGTGATGGTCAAACCTTGCCCTCCCAGGACCCTGAGGCTGCTTTATCACTCAGTTGTGGCCATTCCAGAGGACTCTTTAGTCACATGCAGCAACACGACATTTTAGATACCCTGTGTAGGACCATTGAATCTACCATCCATGTGGTCACAAGGATATCTGGCAAAGGAAACCAAGCTGCTTCTTGACATTAGATGTAGCATGTCTGCTTTTAAGTCCCTCCCCTTCCCATGCTGTTTGTATAAGTTTTGCTTATTTGTTTTGTGCTTCAGTTTGTCCAGTGCTCTCTGCTTGAATGGCAGGATAGATTCATAGGCTTAATTCTTGGTCAGGCAGAACTCCAGATGAAAAAATTTGCATCTTCAGTACACTTTCTAAAGGGCAATCAGATAATGGCTATGTTTTACGTAATTAAGAGTTCTCTGTAGTGGCTTTTCATTTAATATGGCTGTCTGGGAGGAACAGGGTTCCCTGGCCCTGTACAGTGTAATTTAAACTTACAGCATTTTTACTGTGTATAATATGGTGTCCTCTGTGCCAGTTTTGTACCTTATAATAGAGGCAGATTGCCTCCGATCGCTGTGGTTCTTATTATCAAAATTAAGTTTACTTGTATACGGAACAACCACAAGAAATTTGATTCTGTAAAGAATCCTCTTTAGCTGTGGCCTGGCAGTATATAAATGGTGCTTTATTTAACAGAATACCTGTGGAGGAAATAAAGCACACTTGATGTAAAAATAACTGTTTTATTTTTATTGACATGACTGATTGCTATTCTGTGCACTTAATTAAACTGATTGTGATGACTTTTCATTTGTTTACATACGTTGCTTCAGATGTTCTCTCATGAAAGTAATGAGAAAACTGTAGGGGGTGGGGAACAATTACCCATTATATCCTATTTCATTAGAAGGTTAAAGTAACTTATCTCTATACACTTCTCAGTCCTTTCCTTCCACTCACAAACGCATAACTGCTGTAGGGCCAAGCAAGGCTGGTCAGAAGGAATGAACAGAATGCTGGAACTTGTGGGTGAATGCAACATTGTCAGTTTCACTATCTAAGAGCTATGCACCTTAAGAAACCTGAAATAAAAGAAATAATAATAACAAGAACCCATTTATTTTTTCATCTTCTGGAACTGAAAGTAAATTTGCTATATAAAAAGCAAGCTATACCTTGGGAAACTACAAGTATCTGCACTCAGGAACTACTTCCAGAGGAGTATCTTTGGGATGTGAGGCTAATACCTTATTTTAGTTTGCTTGCTGCTTTTAACCCACTGTAGAATCTTATCATAATAAAGATTCAGTTTTCTTTTTTTTTTTTTAATCCTGTATAGGTTAATGGAATGTCTTCAATAATAAAATAATTTGAGGTTCTGTTTTCTGTTTTAAAAGAAAGAATTAGGGATGCAGTAAACTTGACCTTTTTCTGCTTACAAAAAGTAATACCTTTATAAAATCTTCTCATTCACCTAATTCTAATTCAGAGTGGTCAACTGCAGTAAATCTTTTATTTCTTCAAAATGCTGCTTCTGCCAACAGATTTTCATATTCTCTTCTTTACAGACAGGAACTCCTTTACAGTCCAACTGTAATTGCGTTTGCCCTAGGATGGGCACAAAATTCAGTGCAACTGTTGCATAGTGCTCTGGAAGAAAAATAGGAAGCTTTTTACTGTATTATGAAAAGGAAAATTCCCATACAGTTCTTGCCTTTCATGGCGGGGACAAAAGCCAACTTGGGTTTTTTGGAGCCTTATGCAGAAGAGGTATTACATACCTTCTGGCCAATTCCTACATCTCTATTTCATGACGATCTTTTTATTTGGTAACTGGAAATGAGAAATTCCACTGAAAACATTTTTTACAACTTCCCACAATACATAAACACATGAAAAACACCAAATCTTCATTAAAGCCCCTAAGCAGAAGAATCAAGGAACAACAGAGTCCTGTATTCCTGTCATACACCAGCGCCTTTTAGTTCTCTACTGCCAAAGTGTCTCATAGTAGCAGTAGCATCGAGGAAGCAGATGTACTGTACAAGTTAATAACCAGGAGAGCTGACATCAAGAATGAGGGAACTGACATTCACCAGTGCAGATCCTAGCAATTCTAGTGGCAGAGCTAGAGCTTTCACGATGCAAAACCTGAAATTTCTAAAACACTGGGTGAGAGGGATTTATTATACTTGTGTCTTAATGAAATCACAAGCATTTGCCGAATTGTTAAAGGCTTCATTTTGCTACAGTGTATGTTACAATGTTCTTTTTATTCCACAACCAACTGCTAAAGTTCTGAAGTTCTAGAGTTCACATAAAAACCCAAAATAAGTTAAAAGCAGCAAAGATTAAAAAAAAAAAGGGGGGGGGCAATCTTAACCAAAGGAAGAGTTAGTGCAGCTTACCTTTTTAACCTTGAGGTTACTTACCAATTCTATATATTCACCGGTGATGTTCCCATTAAACATTTGGAATTTCCCTCCCCTTTCAGCTTCTAATACAGCAGGAGATTTAGAAAACTTCTGCACAAACTAACCAAATAAAAGAGTAGGACATGTTATTCCAGCACATGCTATCCCCTTTTAAAACTAAATGTAAAGTATGTAACAAAACAATTAACTGTAGTTTGGGTTTTTTAATCCTGGATACATAGCCTTTACCTATGGAAAATAAAACACAAAAGCTTTCTCTCCCCAGGGAGAGAAAATATATACCCTAAATGTTGCCACTGAGAGCTTCAATTTAAAAATGCCCATTTTTCCCCCCTCAACTTACACACAAACTATCCTCAAGACTTGCCCATCACCATCCCAGAAACATGGCCCATGGGGAAACCAAAACCAAAATCTGGCTCTAGTTCTTGATCGTACATTTTCTCCCAATGTCAGCACAGAAGATCCCAGCTCTGGAAGTTACTTAGATCCTTCACAGTGAAGATGCTATACAGCTGCTCTACAGCTGTGTCCAACCTTTCTGTCATGTGCAGTGCCACGGTAGGAATCCTTACACCCAGTGCCACTGGGGATGAGGAGCCCTGAACCTCAAACAGAGAAGAGGTTTCAGAGTAGTTAGCATACCAAGAAAGAAAACTGCTCTATTTGAAAATAAACTCTTCCCCTGAAATACCAAAATGCTCCAAATTCCACATCACCCCTTCCAGATACACAGGGAAGCAGTACAACCAGCCTTTTTGTACCACCTGGCCTGATCTCTATTTTGAAGAAAAAAAAAACTTGGTTTTCCCATGAGCCATTTAGCTCTGTTCCTCTCCCAGGCTATAGCCAAATGCCCCTAATCCTATCCTAGTGGACACTGCAAATGTGGACCAGAAGGCAGAAAGATGAGCAAGTGAAAGACAACAGCAGTTAGGCCAAAAGGTCAATGGTCCTCTCCCCTAGGTATAAAATCAGAATCTAAAACCTCCCAACCAGTCAGTAAAGGAGAGAAGCCTCTTCCATTGTGGTATGTGAACTTCAAAATCACCTGGTTTTGTAATCTGTTGGCCACTAAAATACACGGTCTTTAGAACATTGTTTTGAATTCAATATCTCACCAAACAGCCTGTTTATACATTTCCTTCCCTCAAGAACAAACATCTCATTTTATCATTTCCATACACAACTGCAAATCTTAAAGGCTCAAAGGAGATGCAAGGCTGGATCAGTGGCCCTGCTCACTATCCTTCACAGGTCCTTATCATTAAAAGATTGGAGCTTTAAACATTCTATTAAGCAGTTCCTTTTACCTTGCCCTACAGAATATTGCCACTAAGAGTCATACCTGTAAGGGATTCTCACTCAGTTTTCTTTTAACAGTCAACTGTGTTGCCAAAGCTTTCGTTGGTAAAATCATTCCCATCGTAAATTCTACAAAGAGACACGTAGGGCATAGCTTTAATAGACTTGACTTGTCAGCACAAACAGTAAAGGAGAAAATCCCAAACACCACAACGGCATATAAGAAAATAAAAGAACTGTTACGTATAAAAATAATTCTGATAGCATTTTGAGAATTTCAAGACAATTCCATTTTTTAATTTATAAAACTACTAAGGAGCTGTGGTCGGGCTGTGGTTAAGGCACTGGGCTGCCAACCAAAAGGTCAATGGTTTAAACCCACCAGCTTCTCTATGGGAGGAAGATGAGGCAGTCTGTTCCCATAAAGATTTATAGCCTTGGAAACCCTATGGGGGTCACTATGAATTGAAATTGACTTGATGGCAGTGGGGGTAATTTAAAAAAAAACTGATGGTGGTTGTTGATATAATTAATGTCACTGAATTGTACATGTACAAATGGCTAAAGTGGCAAATGTCTTGTTCTGTATATTTCACCACAATAAACAAAATACAAATTGCTACTGATGATTAACAACATGGGTTTAACAACAAATGCCTCGCTTTTATCAAGTTTTCAATAAAAGAGCAGAATTTTCAAAATGTCCATTTCCCTAATAGCTACATTTTATATGAACAACTACTAATGGCTTCACTAATTGCTGGCTTCACTTCCTGTGAAAACCAGGTAATTGCTCATGGTTTCACCACCCTCTCACAACTTGGCCTGGCAGTATTCAGAATGAGGGCTATCCATGTGCTTGGTCTTGTGGGAGAGTGGCAACCCCAGATCCTGCTATGCTAACACCTAGATACTCAGGTAGCAGGGTCCAAGGATGAGGTGCAGAGATGCAGGCCCTGCTAGCCATTTTGCCTAGCAAACAACTTCCGTAATTTAAGGAAGGAGATAATAACCTCACTTCTATGCAGTGTAGGGATTATGTGGGTATATCTACACTGCACCTGTAACACCTACAATCACTTTCATTTATTCATTCATTCATCCAACAAAGATTTATTTAGCACCTATTATGTGCCAGGTGTTGTGCCACACGCTGGAGCTACAGCAGTGAACAAGACAGACACCTTCCATGCCCTCAGGGAGCTTAAACAGTCTAGCAGGAAGGACAGACATTAACACAAGTAATTACAGAAGCGACTGGATAGTAATCATTCCAAAAAATTACTATTAATGATGTAGACAAAATGCCTCATGATGTGTATAATATGAAGAATCACTAATCATAATTTTAACAATAACTAGCTCTCAACTTCCACACTACAATTTATCCCACAGCATAAAGAGTAGTTTCTGGAGCCTTAGACATCAGCCTAACTTGGGAATCCAGACCACAGTGCAGAGCATAACTAGGGTAAATAGAAAAGGGACCCTCCTGTTTCACAAGAGATTCCTTCTTTACTCATCATAAGTGCCTTCAGGTAATCTCCAAGGGCCTCCCTGACCTTGGCGGTGCCTGCAGTTTTCATAAGATCCTGCAGTATATCCCCATCTCCCTTCTTTTTACTCACGTTCACCTACAAATTAGAAAAATACAAACCTAAGAAAAATCTAGTTTGATGTTTTCTCACAACACTGGGACATATGGATGAGACAGAAGAACTGTGATGGTGGGGAGTGGGGAAGAAGTAGATGTAAGAGAGATGGATAGTTAATGATGTAAAGGTTTTTTAGGAGTCCCTGGCTGGTATGGTTAAGCAATCGGCTGCTAACTGAAAGGTTGGAGGTTAGTGGCTATCCAGGGGCACCTCAGAAGAAAGGCCTGATGATCTATTTCTGAAAAATCAGCCATTGAAACCCTATGGAGCAGTTCTCTGGCACACACAGGGCTGCCAGGAGCTGGAATCAACTCGACAGCAATTAATGAAGTTTTTTAACAAAGGGTCCAATGACTAAGAGATGGGCCAAATCTTGACTGTGAACTTCTTAATTTGCATGCAAAATTTCACGTTTCTATGTCTTTGCATTATTTTGATGGTGTGGTCCATGTCTTTTTATCAGAGTGTGGGAATGTGCTATCCAATATGGCAGCCACTAACCATTTGAGTACTTGAAATGTGACTAATCTGAACTGAGATGTGCTATGTGGAAAACACACATCAAATTTTGAAGACTTGCCACATAAAAAAAAATGTAAAATATGAATAATTTTTACATTGATGACATGTTAAAATGGTGTATTTAATATCAGGGTTAAATAAAATATATTATTTCACCTGTTTCTTTTTACTTTTTTAATATGGCTACTAAAAAATGCCAGTCACGTATGTGGCATTGTATTTCTATTGAATAGTGCTGGTCTAGAACCCCAAAGGAACTGTAATTAGGAAATCCAAGTTCCCATATAACCTGGGCTATATTTTTGGGGCAGGAAGGAGAACTGGGAGAAAGGGAGAAGAAGGAGGGATGGGGCTGCAGAGGGAAGACAGAGCAAGAGGGGGAGAGGGAGGGAGAGAGCCAGTGAGAAAGGTATCAGGGTGCTCTGGGAAGGCCTCTGTGATCCTCTTAGAATGAAAAGAGTGGTTAGTTTGAGACCAGTTAGTATCCTGGTGATTCAGTTGAGTTGGACCTGGTCTCAGGCCCAGTTCCAATCTAAAGAAGTTTTCTCTGTAATGCTACTGAGGGGTTAAATCTGAAAGACCAGTTTTAACATGCTGTTGAGATGCTTCTTAGCTGATGGATCTGAATATAGCGAAGTGAAATCAGAGACCCTGAGTAGTAGAGCAACCACATGCCTGAAGATTTCCTGAGGCCATCCCCTACACTAGCTTTATGGCATTTTATAACCTTCACTAAAGGCAAGTCGTAAGACTTGTTGCTGAGTATGATTAGTGTTCATATCTTTGAAAACCTTCACATAAATACACTCACAAAGCAGAAGAGGCCCTTTGTCACACTATCTTGATTTGGGAAATATAACTGCCGGACAAATGGTGTCACTCCCAGCCTAAAGAGGGCATGAACTGCAGGCCACACGAGAGAGTTACAGAAGGCTCTATCTCTCAAGAGACCTGTGAGAGCTAGTAGTCATAAACAACGTATCTATTGGGGAAATTCTATGAAAAATAAGGAGACATAACCAAGAGAGAGCATGTCTAAACATGGAGAATTTTCACTACTAGAAGGAACGATAAAAATGGAGGGAACAGAAACAAAACAACATTCACCAAATCATACATGCTGCTGGGCACCTTGCAGTACAGACAGGTCACAATTAACCAGGTAACACAGGAAAGATGGATTAACTCTGTTTCACAGAGGTGGCAGCCACGGTGGGTACAGTCACCTGGCCAGGCCCCATCCAGTCTATAGGGAGATGGGCTCCTTGCAATCTCCTGGCCACACACACTGCACTGCTGCCCACAGTAAAGCAATCCTTCTGGGCAAAACAAGTCCTCCTCCATTCATCAAAACTACCACACCGGAATCATGCAGTCTGAATAATTGTTTTTCAAATGCCCAATGTCTATAGCAGAAGCTTGTTTTTTTTTTTTAAAAGAAAACAAAAAACATTCCGTCAGATACCTCAGTGTCATCTACTTCATTTTCTTCTGAAAGATTGGGTATTTCAATCAATCCTTTGTGCTTTGCACCAGATTCCTTAATTGTACCTAAAACGAGCAAAATGTTTGTTTTTTTAAAAAAATTACAAAGGAATACCCTAAACCAACCTACCTCACAGCACTCCATCAGCACCAGGGACAAGGCAGGCTCAAGGCTGGAGTACTGAACAGATTCAGAAGCCAATCCTTCTCTCCCTGCCCACATCACAGGAAGGCAGCCAAAAGAAGGGCGGGGAAGCACGTGGGCCCAAAGCAAGTGCACATGTGAACACAGGCCAGGTCAGACCTTAGTGAAGGGTGGGGCTGGAGTAGCTCAGTCCCACCTGTTTCTTTTTTTGTGCCCCAGCATTCTTCACCAGGTCAAAACAGAATAAAAGGCTATAGTGAAGGGGAAAAGAAGTCACAAAAGGGATGGCAGGACAGGATGATAACAGAAGCAGTGAGGGGTGGAGGGCTGGGGATTTGGAATGTTCTGTACAGACTCTATGGAATTAGATTTCCTTCAGGACCAGAGTGTCACCTTCTCCCCAGTATGTCCCTCTCACCACCTCTGGGCCTCACAGCTAGATGAGACCAGCACAAGGGGCTGTGCAGTCCACCTCTAGCTGCTGCCTGGCAGGGTCTGGGTCTCATCTCACACATGAGCTGGTTGCTGCTTTGGGCCAAGGGAAATGGAAGAGACATCAGGCCATGTGGTTCTCCCAGACCTCAGAGCCCTCTCCTGGGGGTGATGAAGAGCCAGACCTTGTAGCCACTGAGGGAGTAACTGAGGGCAAACCCCAGCCAAGAGGCCCTGTTCCTAGGTAGCAGTGGGCCCGCTTCTGATGCATGCTGAACACCTCCCTGCCACTGGCCTGGCTCACACTGGCAAGGCAGCCACTAGGGCAGACCTAACACAACACTCAGAAAGAAGCCCACAGCTAGGCTGAGGCCTAAACGTGAACGCACTACAATCCTCTCTCTCCACATCTCTCACTCTCTCCTCTTTTCCCCCTTTTGTCTCCATATGTTTAGTTATTTCAAGTATTTTTTGAGTATATACCATATTAAAAAAAAAAAAAAAGAGCATGGCCAGTAACAAGCACACACTTGTAACGCACATAGGGAACTAATGCAGGAGGGGGTTGCTAAGCTTGCAAAAAACCATAAAATACATGCATTATTTGTGTAAAAATATGGTACTGCCTGGAGCTAGGTACCACGGGAGTCATGCACTCATTCAAACACTTATACAACATTCCAAGTAGTGAGTGATCTAGGCCTGGAAACAAAATCCATCAAAATTGCTGCCCTAAATAGCCAAAAAGTGGAAACAACCCAATTGTCCCTCATCTATGTATATAATGTGGTGTATGCAGAGGAATATTATTTAGCCATGAAAAGGAGTAAAGTTCTGATACATGCTACAACATGGATGAACACTGAAAGCATTATGCTAAGTGAA